CCTTTATCAGAGTCTAGACCCTACGAAAGAACATAGGCTACTATTAGTAAAAAAAAAAGTAGTTGCGTTTTCGTACTTCCATACAATCTTTCATTTCACCTTTCAAAGCCTTACAATCCTTTTCACGCTTTAAAAAGTAGCCTATGTCCTGTATGGAAGGGAAGTATCGTCATTTTAGAAGCTGAAAGCATTATGATTTTTTTTTCATTTGGATAAGATTATTGAATATTTGGATATGAATTTTGTGACCTCTTAAAGTATTGCAACAGTACACCACAACCGATTGCGAGTACAGTGTTCATTTCCCCTTTCAACTCCTTACGATTCTTTTCTCACTTTAAAAAGTAGCCTATTTCCTTTATCAGAGTCTAGACCCTACGAAAGAACATAGGCTACTATTTAAATCACATTTGAAATAAAATTTGGTACACATATAGACTAAACTGGCAATGGGCAGGGCACATAGCTCGTAGGACAGATGGCCGTTGGGGCAGTAAAGTCCTCGAGTGGCAACCACGGACCGGAAGACGCGGCGTGGGAAGGCCTCCAGCAAGGTGGACCGACGATCTGGTCAAGGTCGCTGGAAGGCATTGGATGCGAGCAGCGCAGGACCGATCGTCGTGGAGATCTTTGGAGGAGGCCTATGTCCTGCAGTAGACGTCTTCCGGGCTGCGATGATGATAGACTAAACGATCAGTACCAAATTTCATTTAAGTGAAAGCTAGACAGACATAGTTACTTTCTCATTTATAATATTAGTAAATATTGTAATGGGATGGTAATAATACTGTTGACAACGCAAGGAAAACTGCGAGCAATAGCTAGTGTTAATTAAGATTGGGCGTAAACTGAAACACCTGATTAATCTGCCTGCGATAGATAGACAACAAGATGAACCATAGGAGAACCATTGTGTACGTCACTTCAAAGACATAAATTGCAATATCGATTGTTGTTAGGAACAATGGTTATAGAAATATCTAGATTGTTAACTGGAATGATTTCACTGTACTTGCAATCTGTTGTGTAGGTCAGTGGTTCCCAAATAGTTTTTGTTGCGTACCACTTCAAAAAAGACCTCAAACCTTGCGTATTGTAGCAATCACACTAATATTATAAATGTAAAAGTTTGTGTGTATGTATGTTTGTTTTACTGATAGCCGCACGTACCCCTTGATGTAACTTCACGTACCCCTGGGGGTACGGGTACCACTAATTGGGAAACCGGTGTAGGTGATAGAAGTGTTGCAATACTTTGGGAGGTCACAAAATTCTTATTCAGTTTTGTCTATTTATCAAAAATTTGTCTATTGTTCAACATTTCCCAACATATAATAAAATCATAAACACAGCTAGTTTACGATTTTATTACGTGTTGGGAAAGTCTAATGTTAAGATACAAAAAGAGTTTTGAGATTAAAGTTAGACTATGTTCTTTCTCATCATCATCATCATCATCATCATCGCAGCCCGGAAGATTTCCGCTGCTGGATATAGGCCTCCCCCAAAGATCTCCACGACGATCGGTCCTGCGCTGCTCGCATCCAATGCCTTCCAGCGATCTTGACCACATCGTCGGTCCACCTTGCTGGAGGCCTTCTCACGCTGCGTCTTCCGGTCCGTGGTCGCCACTCGAGGACTTTACTGCCCCAACGGCCATCTGTCCTACGAGCTATGTGCCCTGCCCATTGCCACTTTCTCATACATCTTTCAAATAAAAATCTATTAAAATCCATTCAGCTGTCATAAAAAGGTAGCAAATGGATAGACAGATGGTCACTGGGTAACTAGACGGTTTTATATATATATAAAAGAAGTACCCTAACACATTATATAAAAATAGAAACATATCTATTTTTGACATGCTGACCGCAGTTTGGATTGATACAACAATTTAGTTATTCTGAAAGCACATGTTATATTGAATTTGTGATCTCTATCATATATCTACGCCTATAAATAAAATTAGAGTGTTTGTTTGTGATATTGAAATAACCGTTTTTTACTACACGCATATGAATATACACCAAAAAATATATTTTTTTACAATTTTTGTTTCTCTGTCTGTTTGTTCCGGTTAATCTCTGAAATGGCTGGACCGATTTTGACATAATATAATAAATAATATTGGAGTGTCTGTTTGTAATATTGAAATAACCATTTTTTACTACATGCATAATATAAGAATATAAATATGGCACATACACCAAAATAACATTTTTTACAATTTTTATCTGTCTGTCTGTATGTCTGTTAGTTCCGGGTAATCTCTGAAATGGCTGGACCCCTTTTGACGGGACTTTTATTGGCAAGTAGCTGATGTAATAAGGAGTAACTTAGGCTACTTTTACTTTAGAAAAGTTAAATTCCACGCGGACGAAGTCGCGGGAACAGCTAGTATAACATATATATATAGTGTGCGACTAGATGGCGTTGTGTCTGGGTCTGTGGTCCGACTAAAAATATATGACTATTCTAAAGTGCTTATATTTATATGTATTATAGTGTGAATATATATTATATCTATTTCTATACAATATTATCACTGATGCAACAACTAATACAAATCACGGTTGAACAGATAAACAACATGACTCCTAGCTACAAATGTAATACAGGAAATTAGACCTGAAACCACTCAAGCTGGCTGCACTAGACAAAGGCTCAAATTTATCGACTAAATTCACAGGCAACTCCTATGTTGCAACTGTATTGTTTACCTTACAGAACATATACGTATATGTACTAGCCGTCCCGGCAAACGTTGTTTTGCCATATAAATTAATAACGCTATAATAAAATAGGGGTTGGTGATAGAAGGGTGAAAATTTGGGTTTGCATGTATTTTTAATGACACATAATAAAAAGATATAAATAAAAAAATTTGGCCAAAATATAAAAAAATAATGTTAGGGGTGGACAACACTTACCACTTAGGGGTATGAAAAATAGATAGTAGACGACGTAGACGATTATTAAACCTACTAAATATGCATATAAAATTTCATAAAAATCGGTCAAGCCGTTTCAGAGGAGTATGGTAACTAACATTGTGACACGGGAACTTTATATATATATGGAAGTATAAAAGAAATATAATAGAATACAATGAAATATACACTCATACTGACCCACATGCAATTGTTAATAATTAAAACCTAAACTAAGTGAATTTATCCACGGATACCCAAGGGTGTACTTTGATTAGGGTAGTTAAATAAATTAAACTAAGGAAACCTTTCCACAATGGTTGCTATATTGCGTAATTAATGATTATTAAAAGACTATATGTGTTCCAAAAAAAATCTAAATAGCGTGATGTAGAAAAAAGTATAAAACTAAACAACGCCATCTAGTGGCACACTTAGGAACTAAAACAAACGTAATCTCGCTCGATTGTGCACTAAGTATTTGTTGAGACCTAGAATCAAGTTAGTAATTATGTTGTGATAATATATTGTCGTATAACTATGCTAGTACTAATATAATAAATACGTAAATGGCAAAAGAATTAAATCGAATAAACTATATCGAAATCAAAATCAAAATATCTTTATTCGTATATATCTATATTACAAAGTCTTATGATAAAAATCTACCATCAGAACGGAATGCTTTCGAGATATGAACAACTGAAAAAACTCAGTTCGTTATTCGTTTCAAATGACCTTGCACAAAAAAAATACAGATTCATAATTGATATTTAATTAGGGAGAACCAACAAACCAACCAACCAACAAAATATACTATTGCATTTTTGTTAAAAATAAACAGTGTAATCAATGGCGCCGTAACGCAAACAAACTTGCCACAAGCAGTGCCAATTCACGCGTACGACATATATGTATATATATGCTATATTAATATTTAAACTCATACATGAGGACAGCTGATGACATATTCAGATGGCGAGGGATTACACTGGCCCTCCGCCACGACCGGCTAACCTTGTAGCACTCCCATCCCATCCTATCTCACCAAACACATCATCATCATCATCGCAGCTCGGAAGACGTCCACTGCTGAACATAGGCCCTAATACATACATATACATTAAATGTCTAATGATAATGCACATCGCAAAACGTAAAACGTGAAAAATATTAAACAAAAATGTAATGTACATAACTATTGTATCAAAGAAAAGTACAAAATAAAAACTTAAACACTTTGTAAGTACGAATAAAAACGTAACCTTCTCGCTAAAAGCAATTTCTTACATATACCCCTGAATATTGTTTACGACTAGTCCATTTCTAATCACCTACTCTGAAATGATTAAAGAAATACATGTTTGTAAAGTCTTTAGACGTAGCTCGCGACCTGTTTACAGGTATATTTATTTTATTTAACCTTTGCAACTTTTACTTTTGATGTCTGTGAAACGCATTTTATCGTTGGAAATGAGAAACGCCGTCTGCAGTCACTGATGTAAATGGCTTCTTGACTCTCAGGGTTGCCAGCACTGAAAACTTATTTCACTTACACTTTTATTATTTACTTTATTTTTTATTTTACAACGTAGTGATAAGTGATAAATATAACTATATATTTATATAGTGTTAATGAATATGTATCTTGATAGATTGATTGCAAAGTCAATCCATAGGTCGTTAGATTCAAATCCGGCTCAAAGGACCAATGTTCGGGTTGTACCGAAACTGTGAAAGATTCTGTTAGGTAAATAAGATACATATTAAAACTGATTAATGGTAAAATGAGTAATGGTAATGGTAGATAATCACACGCGGTATGTTTGGTAACCACACGTCAACCGCTTCTTTTTTATTTATGTTTTGGTAATGTCTTATTAATGCGTAATGAAATAATGATAACAGCATTTTTAAATGAGACTGAAAACATCTGAGACTTTGTATAATAAGACCGAATGAGTCCGAATATTTTTCGGTCCGCATTCTAGTAATTGGCAACCCTACTTTTGGTTTTAAATGTAAGGAATTGCAAGTTCAAGGTGAAGGAAATAAATTTCTCTTTTCCAGTCGATGTTGACACTGAGTATGTCAAAGCTCTTACACGCCGAGTTTCGTTCAGTGAAGAATATTTATATAGTTGGAATATTGTGCTTTCTGGGATTCAGCTTATCAATTCCTATAACTGTAAGTATATTTTCAAGGATGTTGGTATTGTGATGGGGTCTTTTTTGTGTTGAGGTGATATGTGAGATGATATGTTACGTTTGTAAATTGTATTGCCTTTTAATAATTTCTTACAAGTGTGTCAATTTATATAGGCGTTTTATGCGGAGGAACGATCGTGTCTTATGGAAAGTGTATAATATGAATGTGAATGGATGTAAAGGGAGGAGACGCCCTAAGAAAACATGGATGGATTGTGTAAAAGATGATATGAATAAAAGAAGAGTATGCTCGGATATGACGACCGATAGAGAGCAGTGGAAGAGAATGACATACTGCGCCGACCACAAATAATGGAATAAAGGCAAGGCAATGATATCTCAATCCGTATTTGACAACTAAATTATTATTAAAACGTAATCGATGAGGAGGGCGCATATAACCTAACAACACCGCCTCACTTCCGGTGGTCGCGGGTTCGATTCATCGCACGGCACAAACATTTGTATATGAGTATGATTGTTGGTATCTTGGTGTTTTCTATGTATAATATGTAGTTACGAGAAATAAAAAATAATATATTTATTTATATCAGTTATATAGTACCCATAGCTTTAACTAGCTTAACTTGGATTTAAATGGCGCTGTGTGAATAGAAATTGAAATTTAAAGATTTAAATGTCAAATAAAACAGTTCCTTTGCAAAAAAGCTTACTATAAAATTGATGAATTCCTTAACGATAATAATGTTTTTATAGAAAAACTTTAAATTCATATCACTGACAATATTATCTAATTACACTAATAATGTTCTATGTTGATTATCGCATGCCTCTTACTTGTTATACTGTAATTATTTATATAAAAAAAACATCTATTAAAAAGAGCAACACAAAAGTTTCTTGCTCGTTCTTCTTGTGATGAAGCTGCTGAAAATAATTCCGAATGAGTGGTAGAATCAAAATATGACTATTCAAAAGTGCTTGTAATGAGTTTATTTGAATAAAGATTATTTCTATTTCTATTTCTATTTCTAAATATGCTATTTTTTTTTAAATATTACTATAGTTATTTTTTTTTAAATATTAATATTATACATGCGAAGATTTGTGAGTATGTGTGGTTAGATGGATGAATGGATATTTGTTACTCTTTCACGCAAAAACTACTAAACTGATTTTGATGAATCTTTACATTAATGTAGCTTTTATAGCATGAGGCTATGAATTTCATGCGAGTGTAACCGCGGATACAGATAGTTACAAATATATAACGCTAAATAATGCACAGATATCTAACTATGTAACACTAAATATATCTTGTACTTAGGTTACTGGATATAAAAGATAGTCATAATGATTGAAATTTTAAAAGAGCAACACACAAATATCTTGCTCATAATTTCTTGTAATCATTCTGCGTTCCGAATGAGCCTTCTTCTTCTTCTTCATCCTCGCCTCTTCCCGTTACTCGGGGTCGGCTTTTCTAATCCTGGGGCGCCATACATTTCGCTGGTAAGCATCGTCATTTGACAGGCCCAACTCCTTCATGTCCCTATGGACATTTGTCAACCAGGTAGTTGGTGGCCTGCCTCGTCCTCTTTTTGTTGTAGCCATGGATAGGCACTTTCTCACCATGTGGTTTTCAGGTTTACGCAGAATTGCGTTCCGAATGAGTGGTAGAATAAAAAAATGTGACTATTCAAAAGTGCTTATATTAAGTTTATTTCAATAAAGTATATTTTTATTTCTATAAATACTTTTCTTAAATATACCTATACTGTTTTCAATTATAAATAGCCATTAGATATTTCTTAAAAATAAATAAATTTAAAATAGGAACGTTGATCTGTGATAGAGCTGTGATAGTGTTTTGTTTTATTTTGTAAAATTATTTATTTTTTATAGTACTAGTACTAGCTTAATTATAGTATAATTTAGGGTTGTATGTATTTTCCAATCCTAAATAATAATAAAAAGAAAATAAAATATTATGTCGAAAAAAATATATTTATATTTCTCTTACCACTTAGGGATATGAAAAATAGATAGTAGCTGATTCTCAAATCTACTGAATATGCATATAAAATTTTATAAAAATCTATCAAGCCTGTTTGGGAGGAGTATGGTAACTAACATTGTTACACGATAATTTTATATATAAGACTAGCTGTCCCGGCAAACGTTGTTTTGCCTTAAAATAAAAAATAAAAATTTGGTGTGGACTACCCCTAACATTTACGGGCATGAAAAATAGATGTTGGCCGATTCTCAGACCTACTCAATACGCTCACAAAATTTCTTGAGAATCGGTCAAGCCATTTCGGAGGAGTATGGGAACGAAAACTGTGACACGAGAATTTTATATATAATATTTCATAGCGTCACCAATAAAGATATAAATAGGTAATAAGCGTAGTGCCTAAAATTTGTAGTGTTTATTATTGTTACGAATACTACTATTATAGTATGTTTGTCATATTGTAAAGCTAGATATCACCTGAGTAATAACCAATTACAATATGAATGGTATAGAATATTGTGTTGGACGATCTGAACATGACAGGCTACATACTAGCTATACGTTCAATAGTTCCTATTACCCATATTGTATAGACCAGTGCTTCTCAAAGTTTGCACCGCCCACTTAAGAAAGTCTTCCAAACTCAACCTTCAACTCTCATCTCTGGACTGTCTTAAAGAAATGGAAGGAATATACTTTTAATGACCTCTAGTTCCTTAACAGCGACTTTGCCAATTTTAAGACGGTTGAACTTATTACTTAATTAACACGTCATCTGTACTAATATTATAAGGAGGTAGAAAGATTTAATTTTGAGTATCTTTGTTAACTTGTAATTAAAAAATTTAAATGTATTATACTAGAATATAAAATAGTTTTAACATGCAGATTAACATAGCCTATGACACTGTGTATTTTGCAGGTTGTATCGCCCGATGAACTCTGAAAACTCATTTCGAGTCAATGTTTTTGAAATGCAATATTGTGCATTTTATACTCTTCAATTGCCACTGCCAACATATTCAATAAATATTTCGTGTTCAATAAAATTACTCACAATTATATATATTCATTCGGATATAGACTCGATTAATTTTAAAAAGTAATTAAAATACGCGATCTCATTTTTGAAAAGTAATCGAATAATAAATCGATAACATCGTCAGTTACTCATTTTATTTAACATGAAATATTTTCTGAATTCGACACCACAGTAGACTTACAGTATAATGAATGAGTATTATTCGGAGCGAGATATTTGTGACAGCCTCGGTGGTCTAGCGGTCTAGCATACCGCTTTACGACCGATGGTCGCGGGTTCGATTCCTCGCACGGCACAAACATTTGTATTCATGAGTATGATTGTTTGTATCGGTCTGTGTGTTTTCTATGTATAATATGTATGTATTTACGAAAAAAAAATTATCTATGTATTTGTATCAGTTGTCTAGTACCCATAACTAAGCTTTAGCTAGCTTAACTTGTGTCTAGATGGCGCTGTGTGAATTGTCCTGAGATTATTATTACTATTGTAAACATACATAAATATAGATATACAAATGAGTTATAAATTTCGCAACCCACATATTGTCCCTCGCGCCTTATAGTTTGGGAGGCACTGTTGTAGGCATTACATACGCTTATGCAGGTTCAATCTGTCGGCAATCACTTCCTGTAATATACTGACACTTACATCCGGAGATTACGGACAACAGAATTAATCTATGGTAACGAGTTGCGAATCGATAAAGTTATATTAATAACTGCCTTTACACGTACGTTCTTTTATGCGCGAATCGACTTTCGCCCGGAAAATAATGTTTATGTAAATGTAAACGAAGAGAATGGGAAAGAGCGCGCACCGTTATCTCCCGCGCGTTTCAACCATGTGCGCTTTAGCGCCTTTTTGTAATAATTAATTATAATTGTAAAATGGAGTTAAAGAACTATCAAGCGAAGACACAGTTGTAGAGTTATTGATAATGAATAAATCTTAAATATGCCTATGAAAAATAAAATATGTGGAATAAAAAATAATAATTCCGTTCATGCATTCTCGTGTCCTTCATTCGTGCGTGCTTTAGCGTCTTTTTTTGTCATTGCAAAATTGCGGACATCTGATTATGAAGCAAGAGAACAATCTTACTAATATTATAAACACGAATGTTTGTTACTCTTTCACGCAAAAACGACTGAATTAATTTTAATGAAACTTTACAGTAATATAACTTATTCATCAGAATAATCTATAGGCTACCATTTGTAGCGAGTGAAACCGCGGCAGCACCTTGAATATTATAAAACTTAAACGAATCTTTGAAAAATAAAAATTATGGAATAAAAATTATATTTTATAAGAAAGTGACTTTGTTTGAAATTTAAACGCAATATCGCGCGAAAGGTTTAACTCAAAAGGATAGCGCGCTGGTTTTACCGCACTAGATCATACGCGCGATTGGAAAATAACAATCTGTAGCATAAAAAATATTATTTTAAAATAAAATAACATGACTTGAAATTTAAACGCAATTATGCGCGAGAGATTGAACAAAAAATGATTTCGCGTGCTGTCTCTCCGCGCGATCAGAAAATCGCGCAAATCGCGCGCGCTTATGTTGCACGAGTGAAAGAACGTGTAGTGTAAAGGCAGGTAATGTGTACAAAACTATGACTAGTCAAATTAAACTTGATCACTACTTGAAAGTAGCTCGCGTGATTATAACTACTTATGCTCCAGTACGGTAGTTTGTTTCACGCCATTCTTACTCGATTGTCCATTAAAACTTGTTACGTACTAGCTCATAATATTGTAACTATAGTTACAATATTATGAGCTAGTACGTAACTATATAACGTTATTATATAGCCTTTACCAGCAAATTAGTCTACTATTTTGGGATAGAAGGTTATTCGGACACTGGTTGTCTGTTCACAAATAACATTCATGTGTTCAGGTGTTTTGTTTAAAAGTAACTGATAAACAGAAAGACTTTTGCATA